TCCCCAAGAACTTCATGAACAAACACTAGATCCTTATGAACTACAGCCAGCCATATGCCTCAACAATGTTCCAATGAGAAAAGTGCAGCTCCTCTATTTGAGAAAATTGTCAATGTGACAAGCAAAGCAGTGCTGGGAAAGATGTACCGATTTAATCAAGTAATAAGGGAGTATCTGGCAATAGAGTGGAAGGAACCATGATGGAGATATCACATGCCACATAGAGGATTATCTGCAACATATTTACATTAAGTTCATGATGTTTTAGTCTTCTTCTTCTTCTTGCACTTCACCAGAAAAACTGATCAACTCAGGTTGAGATAGATGATCACACATGCTATGTGGTAACTTCGTTATTTTTTTAACATAGTACAAATGCTCATACACTCATCTTTATGAGCATCTTCAAGAGATTGAGCCAAAACATCATTTAAGATTGACGGAGTCGCCACAAACGTCTTCATAGTCGAGGGTAACGTCCCATCCCACTAAACGCATATCGCCCGAAGACATTAAATAAATTCAGGAAAATGCGACCATCAATGCCAAATCTAGGATTCGAAGACTGATATGAGTTGGTTCCACCACATCAAAATCGTCCGATGTGTTTAAATTTACATCAAATTTGTTTACTTTCGTTAAATTTTATTTGGAATGTAACCGAACATTTGCAGCTAGTTTTGAATGACAGACTTCCACATCATTGACGGATACGGCGTCCGGTTTGGGAGTTAGCGTTGGAGATGCCCTTACCATCTAAGCTATTCACGACTGATGTTTTAAGATGAACTAACTTTGTCGACTGTCGACCACCAATTTTTTTAACACTGTATAGACGCATACGCTCATACATACATACATACTATATAGACTCACCTATATGAACACAGCATACACTATTTTTATGAACACCTCTAAAAGACTGAGCCGACACATCATCTTGAGATTGATGAGGTCATCATAGACGCCTTAGTAGTCAACAGGAACATCTCCTCCCACTGCACATCGCCGAAGACATGAAATAAATCCAGAGAAATGCTTGCTATAGCTGGCCAATTGGCCCTTTTTTTGCGCCGGCCCGTGAGCACGCCGGCACGGCCCGCCTTGGGCCAGGCATGACACGGGCTAAATGGGCCGGGCCCGGCACGCGACACGCCCTGGGCCGTGCCTGGGCCTAGAGGCTGGGCACGCAAGCCGGCACGACACGGCCCGGTTACGTTTTTTTTTACTTTTTTATATATCTATATATGGCCCAACATGTAAAAATAGGCTAAAAAACACTCAGTGCGTCAAATAACAGGCTGAAAATATACGGCCCACCATGCTAAACGGGCCAACGTGCCGGCCCGTTTACTAACTGAGCCGTGCCTGGGCCTGGAGCGCAGCATGTGGGCCGGCACGGCACCGCCCGTATAGTAATTGTGCCCTGGCGGGCCGGCCCGTTTGGCCAGGTATGCATGTCGAGAAAACTGGGACCACTATTTAAACAGACATGTATGTATCTGACCGTCGATCGACCATCTTCTTCTCGAAAAAAAGAAAAAGAAAAAACTCTTGGATCGACCAAACCCTAGAGAAAGAGGGGCTCCTCTTCCATGGCCGGCGGCGATTCTTCTCCCGTGGCGGCTGCGGCTGCGGCGAGGAAGTGAGAGTGGGACCAAGAAGAGTATCGGTGCGAGCCGGCGGAGTATTCCGTGGATCCGCGATACAGCGAGTACGACCCCAAGCAGGGTGTCACACCCCATCCTGGATCGGGATCGGAGATTAGGGAATTTCGTAGCAGGGGTTGCGAGAGACAAGAGTATATGCGAGGTATATGCTTGTGTTAGCTGTAAAGTTTGACAGAGTTGTTCATAGGAGAATAATGCCCGCTATTACAGAGTGGGGTGCTGGCTTATATAGCTCAGCCGGAACAGCGAAAAGAAACAGGAACGGCAAAGGGAAAAGCTACAACACGGAAGTCACTGTTACAGGCGAGCGAAGCGAGCCATTAGATTGCCCCCCCAAGGTGCATCCTAACCGCACATTAACTGAATATGGCTCTGCAGTGATCCGAAACTGACACAGGGCTGTTTCATATGCGTCCGCTACTTCTTCGACGGCAAACTCGACCTGGACAGGAGTGTACGTTCCAATCCAATCCAATCCCCCTTATTGATCCTTATTGTCTTCGTTATGCATGTCTAGTTCATGATTTTTTTTTGGTATTTCAGTTCAAAGTTCAAATACCAGTCAGTAACTTAGTATCACTTCATTCCCCAAAATCAATCCGAAGGTTGCCTCCACTTCCTACTAGATTTATTCGGAAGCAAAGGCTGCCGCTTCCAAATTCATTCGTCAATTAGGCTCTGTTTGGACGCTCACTACTTTTAATTACTATACACCCTCCGTTGCGAATTATAAGATGTTCTAACCTCTTTCTGAATTGGATGTATATAGATGCGTTTTAGTGTGTTTGTTCACACATTTTAGTCTGTGTGTAGTCCATATTAAAATATCAAAATCATTTACTAGTTCGGGAAAGAGGTGATAGTATATTACTATGGAAAAGATGGGAGCACAGCCTGCCTGGTTTGGTTTTCAATGGATCTGTTCCAACCAATTTACACCTACATACATACTCTTCCTTTTACTCTCTTTGGTTGATTGAGATGAGCTTTCCTCTCGTTTGGCAGCACCTGCTGGTCCCATGCGGCATACTGGTAAAATCTTCAGAGAGGGGTTCCCGCTCGCAAACTCGGTCAATGTTGTCTCCATCAAATAGTTTCCTCCGACTATGGCTATCCACTCAGTGTTTATCGTACCATCATAGCCAGGGACAGTTTAGATAAAAAATGTGTCTATGTATTCCAGCGCGACAAGGACGATTGCCAGCTCATCAGCTCAAAGGTTTTACTGCCATTTGCCTCGTAGCTACAGACACATACAACATATCAATTTGTATTTTCTTGTACTGGTACTTCCTCATATCAGTCCTCTGATTTACAAAATAAAAAAAAACTTTGGCAAATTGACATGTACTCCCTCCGTTCGGAAATACTTGACGTGATTTTAGTTCAAAGGTTGTAGATCATAAATACCTAACCTAGCTACTGTACATTGATACCAGCATTGAGGTGCCGACACCGAAGAGGATCTTTATTCTTTGGCTCTTTGTTGTTTGATAAGCCTAGCTGGCTTGTTGATTACCTGAAACCCTGACAACAACCAATATCATCCATGTCTAATAGTACGTGTGCAGTCTCATCAGATCCTAACATATCACATTCTATCCTCTATTCTTGAACGACATCCTACCCAGTTTTTAAGGATTTAAATTTCAATTTTGGACATGGAAAGAAACTGATGCTATCATCACTCAAGTGAATCATCATCCTTTCACCTTCACCTTGAGAGAACCCTCTTCTTCATGGTTTTGTCCTTAAAATTCCAACCTAAAATTCCAACCTAAGGAGAAAGATGCATGATTTTTGTTGTCGCGGAGGGAATACAGGATGCATACCTGTTGCCGGTAAGGCACGGTTTAGCCAACTGACCATGGTTTGTACTAGAAGAGTGATGAAAGCCAAGGTTCAACACAGCACGCACAAAAGATTTGGTGTAAAAGTGTAATAAACTTCTCCCAAAGTTTGAGGATGATACAATCAGGGACCTGACAACAGCAGCGTACAAAAAACTCCCATGGATTACAGTAGCTCAGAATTCAACTCCTCGGGAATATAACATGCTGGACTTCATCACACGGTCATACACAGAGCAATGGTGCTGTATTACAGATTTAAGGCAGACAGACATGTAATCATGCAACGCTGTTGGCAGCAATACGCTAGTAGCTGACGATTCAATAGATGAATTGAATCTTGGTAGAATGGTAAAGCGGCAAAGGCCCAGGGATGGGGCTGACGCTAGACGGGCAATGCCGCAAAACAATGCTTCTTCTTCTATGTGTATGGTTCTGGCATTGGTTGCACAGATCAGGTGATACACCAGTATGATGCATTCTTCTTCTTCTACAGCTTGTCTTAAGATGAGTCTGTTGTCGGCCGAGATCTGCTTCCTGATAAATCTGCAGCCGCGACGTCGATCTAGTGTTGTATGAGTTGCATTGGCTGCACTTATGGCCAATTACGTGGAAGTCCACTTCTGAGACTTTGTTTTCAGTGGTTCTGTTCCATCCAGTTGACACCTACATACATACTCTTCTCTTTACTCTCTTTGATTGATTGAGATGAGTTTTCCTCTTGTTTGACAGCGCCTGCTGGTCCCATGCGACATGCTGGTAAAACCTTCAAAGAGGGGTTCCGGCTCAAAAACTCGGTCAATGTTGTCTCCATCAAGATTGTTTCCTCCGACTATGGCTACCCACTCAATGTCTACGGTACCATCATAGCCAGGGACAGTCTGGATTGAAAATGTGTCTATATATTCCGGCGCGAGTAGGATGATTGCCAGCTCATCGGCTCAAAGGTTTTACTGCCATTTGCCTCATAGCTACAGACACATACAACATATAAATGTGTATTTCTTGTACTGGTATTTCCTCATATTAGTCCTCTGATTTACAAAATAAAATAATTGGTGATTTCCTGACGGAAAAATTTCTGAATGTTGTATGTCAGTAATTCTGATTTAGGTTTTGTATGTTATACTTGAATAACGGCTCTGGTTTTGTATCTGTTCCATATGATGTTTGATTTTAATGATACTTGTCTTGTAGGGTATAGTGTTAGGAGCCAGGGGTTTATCACTTGCGTGGCTCAGTTTATGGTTCTACGGCAATCTGCACAATAAGAAAAGGAGCACAAAAAATACATCAGCACAGATGTAGCATAATTTTTCTGAGTGTAATTACCTTGTTTCATCATTCAAAACATAGCTAAAAATGAACCCCAAAGCAAGGGTAATTTAATCAATCCCAGAAACAAGCATCTTGAATTTATCTATTCAAATTGATCTTGCAGGATGATTCATTGATTTTGACTGGCCCCAAGAGAGGATTCATGGTATGCGATGATATATTCTTCGAAATCAATCTGAAGGTGAAGGATGTGCATGGGAGGACTGTTGATGATGATAGACTCAGTAAAGGCCTGATGGAGGTGGATGCTATCCGCAGGCTGGAATATAGTCCCAGATATGTGGTTGAAACGGAAACACTTGTCAGCATGCACAGCATATTGGATTTAAACTATACATTCGTAAGGAGGTCGGTGGAGGCCACTATTGAGATCAGGATCCTTGAGGGACCTGATGAATTCCATGGGAAGATTGTTGCTTCCACTACCAGTATTCCATGCGACATTGTGCTACATGATAGCAAAGTGAGTGGTGCCCTAACTGCAGGTGACAATGGAGTCATACAAACGGCGCGGCACGTAGTAGGAGTCTCTGTGGATGAGATTCTGGTGTTGACTGTTGCTGCTGCTGTCGGTGATGATGAGTTATCTGTCGTCACTATTGAGTTTACTCCAAGTCGCAATGGTTACGATGATGGGAGTATCACCTGCGGGGACTACAAGATGCTTCTGAAGGTCACTTGGGCGATTATGTAACTCTTAGTAATTTAGTCGTGGCAGTCTGCCAGATTCTCTAGATCCTTTTTATGTAACGCAGCTTTAAATTCTTTGGATTCCTCCTCTTTGTATCCAACTTGGCTGCGCATTATTGTGCCAAGGAAGTGGTTCTGAATAGTATCTGATTCAAACCTATAGCAGAATTTACCCCTTTTAAAATTTATTAAATAGGTTTTTTCAGAATTTTCGGAACTTTCGAAAGCGTTTTTTGGTGGCACTAGCACACCCAATATGCCCCCCTGGAGCATCACTAACAAGCGCCCATCAATAGAACTGATGCACTGGATGAACCCAATTCCCAGTGATTGCAAAGCCTGATTAAGCATTTTTCATGCACTCCACATCAATTACAAGCAAATTCTGGTTGGGCAAATATTTGACAATGAATTTACCATATGTTTTCATCTATAGAGTTTGGATATCTCAGGAAAAATGTACAGTTCAACAAAATGCTTGGTTTGCTCAATGGACAAAGCAATATGCACTTCAGAGCAACAAGATTTGCTATCTTCAGGAGGTGTTTCAGGCTTTCAGCCAATAACATAACACAGATGGATCTCTTCAACATCTAGCATTGGGTCTCTAGTCTTTTATCCATCTCCGTTTCCTAGGATGCCCTTGCCTCGCCATATAAACCCGACCATAAACCTCGCCATATAAACCACGTCATTCTGGATGAGGTTTGCCGCTGTCGCGTCTGCCTCGTCGGCTATCCTTGTATGACAATCCCGGATCCAGTGACCCTGGTTGCTACAGTAGCGGCACTTGTTCCGGTCGCCACTGTCGCCGGTACCTCGCCTAGGCCCGCCCTGCTGGGATTGGCCTGGCTTGCCGTCGCGGTTGCCACCGCTGCTCTGGGCACGACCTTTGCCTCTGCCGTGAGCTCTGTTTCTCGTGGGGACGCCTCCCCCACTGCCAGAAGAGCCGTCGCGGCTGCACTGTTGAAAGCGCGCGTCCCACTGCTCCCTAGTGAGTAGCAGTTGGCCGTCAGTGCGTTCGTTGGCTTTCTCGCTGCGCTCCTCGACGACCTTGAGCCGGCCTACAAGCTCCTCGATTGTCATGGTGGAGAGGTCCACCAGGCTCTCGATGGACCAGGCCGGTCGCTTGTACTGCCCCGGGATGAGGCGGAGGAACTTGAGAAGCATCCTCTTGTCGTCGATGGGATCTCCGAGTGTTGCGAGCTCGTTGACAAGGCCCTGTGACCGCATGGCGAAGTCGTCCATTTGTTCACCGGCCTTGAACCGGATGTCCTCGTACTGGAGGCAGAAGGACCGAGCCTTCGGCTCCCGTACGTGCTCTATGCCAATGTGCATAGCCTTGTGAAGGAAATATGCCGTAGAGGCAATAATAAAGTTGTTATTTATATTTCCTTATATCATGATAAATGTTTATTATTCATGCTAGAATTGTATTAACCAGAAACTTAGTACATGTGTGAATACATAGACAAACAAAGTGTCACTAGTATGCCTCTACTTGACTAGCTCGTTGAATCAAAGATGGTTAAGTTTCCTAACCATAGACATGAGTTGTCATTTGATTAACGGGACCACATCATTAGAGAATGATGTGATTGACTTGACCCATTCCGTTAGCTTAGCATTTGATCGTTTAGTATATTGCTATTGCTTTCTTCATGACTTATACATGTTCCTATGACTATGAGATTATGCAACTCCCGAATATCGGAGGAACACTTTGTGTGCTACCAAACGTCATAACGTAACTGGGTGATTATAAATGTGCTCTACAGGTGTCTCCGATGGTACTTTTTGAGTTGGCATAGATCAACATTAGGATTTGTCACTCCGATTGTCGAAGAGGTATCTCTGGGCCCTCTCGGTAATGCACATCACTATAAGCCTTGCAAGCAATGCAACTAATGAGTTAGTTGTGGGATGATGTATTACAGAACGAGTAAAGAGACTTGCCGGTAACGAGATTGAACTAGGTATTGAGATACCGACGATCGAATCTCGGGAAAGTAACATACCGATGACAAAGGGAACAACGTATGTTGTTATGTGGTTTTACCGATAAAGATCTTCGTAGAATATGTAGGAACCAATATGAGCATCCAGGTTCCGCTATTGGTTATTGACCGGAGATGAGCCTCGGTCATGTCTACATAGTTCTCGAACCCGTAGGGTCCGCACGCTTAACGTTTGGTGATGATCGGTATTATGAGTTTATGTGTTTTGATGTACCGAAGGTAGTTTGGAGTCCCGGATGTGATCACGGACATGACGAGGAGTCTCGAAATGGTCAAGACATAAAGATTGATATATTGGACGGCTATATTCGGACACCGGAAAGGTTTGGGGTGATCTCGGAGAAAACCAGAGTGCTGGAGGGGTTACCGGAACCCCCCGGGGGCTAATGGGCCTTGTTGGGCCCTAGTGGAGAGAGGGGCGGGCCGGCCAGGGCAGGCCACGCCCCCTCCCCTTGAGTCCGAATAGGACAAGAAAGGGGGGCGGCGCCCCCTCCCTTGCCTTTCCCCTCTCCCACTCCTTCCTTCCCCCTCCCAGTGGGACTAGGAAAAGGGAGTCCTACTCCCACTAGGAGGAGGACTCCTCCTCTTGGCGCACCCTCCTAGGGCCGGCTGCCTCCCCCCTTGCTCCTTTATATACGGGTGCAGGGGGGCATGTAACACCCCTGATGTAACTTACCATATTTGTAACTCCAACTCTTGCCTTTTTCGGCTTTAAGTTATGAGATTCCCTTCGTGGTTGGGTTTTGTCTTCGTTTTGCATTTTGTTCATATCATGCATTTCATATAATGTCATCATGTGCATCTTATTTTGCATAAGTGTTCGTCTGATGCATCCGAGCATTTTCCCCGTTGTCCGTTTTGCAATCCGACACTCCTACGTGCATCGGCGAACCCTTCTTGTCTCTTTTCGTGAGCGGGTGTTAAACGTTCTTGGAATGGACCGAGATTTGCCAAGTAGCCTTGGTACACCACCGGTAGACCGTCTGTCAAATTTCATGCCATTTTGAGTCCGTTTGATACTCCAACGGTTAACCGAGGAACCGCAAAGGCCTCGTGTGTGTTGCAGCCCAACACCTCTCCAAAATGGCCCAATAACCCATCCAAACCTCTCCCATGTCCTCCGCCGCCGTATCACGATCGTGTGGGCGAAAACTAGACCTCATTTGGACACTCCTACCTCCTCCTGGCTATAAATATGTGCAACCCCTTCAAAATTCGGGTCCAAACCCTAGATCCAACCCCTCCGCGCCGCCGGACACGTCCGCCGACGCCCTCCTCCAATAGTCAGTCACCACGTGTCCTCCCCCGCGCCCACATCATCGCTGCCGCCCGGGGCCCAGATCCGGCCCGCCCCGGGCCGAACCGAGCCTCGCCGCCCGTGAGCCCCGCCGCCGTACGCCACCGCTCCGGGCCGCTTCCTCCGCCACTTGGGAGCTCGCCGGAGTTCCTCGGCCCCGACGTCCGCCGCCGTAGCCCACCCGCCGGACCTCGCCGCCCTTCGGCTCCGACCTCGCCGCCGTCTCGCGGACCTCCGCCGCCGCCCTAGCGCGCCGCCTCATCCACCGCCCGTCGCCGCGTAAAGCCCCGCCGCCCGCGACGCCGGCCATCGCGCGCGCCGCGTCCCCTCTGACCGGCACTGTCGCCGGCTCATCTGCCGCGTCGCTCACCGCCCCGGGTAGCACCGTCTCGTCGCCGACCGTGCCCTCTCCGGCCATCTTCTCCACCGGCTCCGGCGACATCTCTCCGACGAACCTCATTTTCCGTGCGAACCCTAGATCTATTTGATTGGGAGGTGATGATTCCACTAAGTCTTTTCCCCTGATGTATTTTTATGCCTCTATTCATTGCACCATAACTTCATGACCGTAGCTCCTTTCATGCGCTTGAGATACCAAAATGTTCATTGGGAGATGCTCTTCATTTTATTCCATTGTGACATGCTTGTTTGAGTCCATATTGATGCCCAAATCATTGATGCAAGAGTGCTATAAAATGTTTGCTCCTGTTACTTATCAGTTTAGGGTGTTTTGTCATTTTTGTCACATTTGATGTGTGCTTCATATGGGCATGAGCTCTACATGTGTTTTGAGATATGCCACGCCATATTTACAGGGGTGCTTGCCATGTATTTTTGTGATCAATATGGTGACTAGCACAAGCATGCAAAGTAGCCTTCGTGATATTGCTGATTTCAGGGACTTAGGATTTTGCTAAGTCTTGTGCCTGCTGTTATTTTTATGCCATGTAAACATGATGCTACAGTGAGATACATGCTTGTTTTGAAATACTTCAGTAAGGAGATTTTGAACATATGGTTATGCTCTATCCATCCGTGCCCCTGTTTGCAATTATGGAGTGCCCTAGCATGTCTTAATCTTGCTCTACTTTTGCTATAAAATGTTCCTGGCAGATTGTTTACATGTTAATCAATTTTGTCATGGTTGTTGCTATTGATCCATGCATGCTATGAACTTGCTCTTTCCATGGTTAGCTTCATGAACATGTCTTCTTGCTGATTCTATGCTTATCTTGTCATGCAATGCCTTGTGGTGAGTGATTTGAGCTAGCAAAGATGCCTTCATAATTCTATTTATGCCATGCTCTGTTTTCTACTAAGTCTGAAACTGTTAATAAAACTTGCTATGTTTACATGAGTGCCATTATATCTTCTATGCCTTTGTGGCTCATGATCAGTAAGAGACTTTTGTTCTATGCATTTAGTAGATTCATTACATGCCTTGTATTTCTATGATATGTTCCTGTAGCATGTTGTTTGCTTTCTCTAAACATGGCTTCCTGATGTTATTCCTAGCATGGTAGTATTTTCACTAAAGTCTGAGAAGCTGATATCTTTTGCACTTTTGCCATGCTTGTTTGAACCTGCTCTTGTGTGATTTAGCCATAGCTCAGTGTTCATGTTTTGTCAAGCATCTTGAGTACATCACTGCCATATGCTTTGTTGTTATGTTGGAGTTCAGTAGCTTAG